CGCGTGCTTCACGTGTTTTAATCCATACGCTTTTAGTCCTTGCCCCGCGATCCTCCTCTTAACTTTGTGGCACTTTTACGCTTCGCTTTTAACGGCGGCTCCGAATCCATTTGACAATGTAAACAACAAAGGGAAACTTGGTTCCCGAAATGCAGAGTTTACTTTGATAAACAAAAGTAGTGGATCCGGCGAAAAACTATCGGGAGTTAGGAGCATTTAAACATCCTTAACACCTGATATTTTAAAATAAATGCACAAGTTTTTTAACTTTTACATTTTAGTTGCTAAAAGTATGAAATGCAATCCTTTAATAAAAAATACATTTATTATTTGATTTTTATTATTTATTTATAATTTGATTTTTATTTTTTATTTATTATAAAAACACAAGTTTTTTAGCTTTTACATTTTAGTTGGTAAAATTATGAAATGCAATCCTTAAATACAAAATACATATATTTTTTATTTATTATTTGAGCAGAGGTGAATTAATTTTACGATTAAGAGATTTGGAAGTTAATATTTTTCCCACTAGTATATTGTTAACGAAAAACATAAAAAGCCTTGCCAAGATTTAATTACTTCAATTTTTTTAGGCTACGGACAGCCTAAAAACCAATTAAAAACAGAAAAATATTATACAATTTCATATCTCTATAATTGAAAATTTAAATGTTACTGTTTTACTACATAAAATAGTTGCATTGCATTTATAAAATCAAAAATTCTTGATGAAGGCAGTTCGCTGTCTGAGCCATGAATTGTATTCGGACAAGGGCTCTCTTCCCCGACAGATGTGTTGCCCATGGCTATAATATGCCCCGACCACTCGAACTTGGATTGGAGGATAGACGGGATGTACTCCCCTCGTATACACGGAGTTTTCAGCTTGAGTTGCTGTTGATTTAATTCAAGAGGCCCCATGCATTTCCAATGCCGAGGACTCGTATGAAAAATGTACAGCAATTTTCATCGCTTGTTATCCTTTTTTTCGACATAATTGCTTGGCTTTTCGGGCGATGCAAATACGAGTGGCATTGTAACATAATTTCCGTGCAAAATACATCAAAACGGACCATCGTGGAAATCTCCATTTTCATGTGTTTGCACAGCAGTCTAAACTTCACACACAGGCAGATATGTTGATGTGGTTAGTTAGCATCTGTGTTTATATTTGTGTTTGCATTTTGCATTTTCTACCACCGAGAGTTGGAGGGGAAGGGAGAGGAGGGTTTCATACACATGTCCATGTCCGTCACATTTGTGGGTGAACATGTAGTAGTGTGTACCTCCGCTCCACTCCCATTTTATCGTTTTTTTCTCTGTCGATTTGGCCTGGCACATTTGTGTTTGTTCAGCTACTTTTGCGGTTTGCCGCTTTTCGCGAACATTTCAACCACATTTGTAGTCACTCCGGTTTGGACAAGCGCCAAAAAGAAGTCCCGTGAAAAAAAGAGTTAACTGGGCAAGGAAGCGGCTCAGCAAAACTTTTAACAACAGCTTTATTTTCACCTAAATCGCACTTCAAACCTTCACATTTGTAATGTTATCAAAAACAAATTCTTTAGCCACGTTTTGATTGTCCACTGATCGCCCGTCAATCGCTAATTTATATCCCCTAATGAGAGCAGCGCAATTTAGATAGCCACTCCTCATTTTGAATTCGGTTCGATAAACGGCAGAGCGCAGAAAATGAATTAGAAATGTCGACAAATTGAAACACATTTCCATACAAATCTATAATTTCAACGAAATTAGAGCGCATTTTTATCGCAATGCGATGTTTTTCAACTTTTTGTACTCCCGCTCGTGTGTGTGTTTTTGTACCACGGGGCGTATGCGCAATTTGATGCGCTCGCAATTCAATTAAATTCGGCAAATTAAAGCGAACTGGTAACGCTGAAGTGAAATTTAATTGCATGGGGGACCGATTCCCCTTTGCTCTCTGGCTTTTTCTCTGGGGAGGTCAGGGCAAAATGCAGCACGTATTTATTAGCTGACGTGCATTGATGAAGGTCGAACCAGCGAACGCGTGATCCCTGAAAACTCGGGGTGGATGTGGGAGGCGGTTGGGAGGACTAGGCGAAGCGGCAGGAACTGACAAGGATTCCTTTGGCCCGCTGATTGACTCACGATTATGCAATAAAACAGCAGACGACAGGAAGGACAACACTCAAATCCCCGCAGAGACAATGGGCCGCAGACCAGGCCTCCATCCATCTTCCCCGCCTCCCCTATTTGCCGACGAGCCCTGGGTGTTTGCGAGGGCTTCATTGGCTTCATTTCAACAGCAGCTTTTCAAAAGCTAAAACTTTTTATGTCCAACTCATTAAAAATGTGCGCCAATGGACTTTATGCAGGCCAGTCCATGGGATCCTTGATTCCTCTCCGACTTTGGTTCAAGCGCCTTTCTGTTACCACACATACACTTTGGAATAAACACAGAATCAGACAAAAATACTTATGCACTGAAAGAAACATTTTTATGTTTCATTAGAAACTGGTTACAAAATAGTATTTTAAAGCTTTGAAAAACTTATTTTAAGTTTTGAAACCTTTTTAGCAAAGAATATATTAGTTTAAAATAAATTGTGACTATGTTCTTATTAAATTTCTGTTAGTTATTTTTCCCCATGTAGATTTAGGATGTTTTCCGCTTGAATTTCTCGTCTTTTGCCTAAATGCGAACGGACGACCAAGTTGAAGCCAGAAAACCAAATGCAATTTCCAAGTTTTTAATGTGCGAAATTTCTAATTTAAGATTTACGATATTTTTATGTCGAATTACGTACCACCCGGCGGCCCCTGCCGTTGATGTTCGCTCATTTTCGTGCTCTGGTGTTTGGCTGTGAATTCTTTCGGCCAGCTGCTTTATGCCCGCTCGCCGGGAAGTTGGCCCGGCTTTTAATGGAGCCCAGGACTCTTTAATTGTGGAACTGTGCGTAATGCAGGACCCGCCGGATGGGTATATTTTTGGACTCTTAATTATGAACACGTCCAAAGGTCAATGGTCGCCTTTGATGCAAATTTTATGGACTGGAACTTAATTGGCCCGGTCCGTTGAATGCCCCACACAGAAAGGCTGAAAAATCACCCGCTGCTAAATGAAATGCCCTGTCCAAATTGTTTTGCGACTGACCAATTGACTAAAACCAACAAAAATTTGTAGCTGGTGCAGATTTAATGTGCATTTGTTTTCGGCGCGGTTTGTTTTTGTTTCGAGGGGAGGTCGAAAGGTCGGGGGAAGGTTTGCGAACGCGGCGATTGCAGCTGCAGTTTTGTTAGTTAGGGCAATAAATTGTTGGCTCCGCTCGGTTTGGAGGGAAAGGGATGTGTCAGATGCAGAGATTGCATAAAATAAATTGGTCAGCGATTGATTTGGGGGATTTGCCGAACAATTTATTACCGCCGAGATAAAGGCATTTGAGTGTCAACATCAAAATGGCAACATTCCATTCCAGTCGAGTACCCGACCCAGTCAAATATTTTCCCCTTAATCCATTTTGCGTGACCTACACGGAAACAAATAACTTTTGGAGTTGGGGGTCTTGGGCCATTAGTTTTATCAGATTTAGATATACAACAAACTGAAAAAATTAAAAGCAATAGCAATTGACAGTGGAACACTAAACGCCATTTAATGTTTAAAGAGTTTAAAACTAATATTCTCCATTCTTAACTTTTCGCTGAGTGAATGTTTTGGGTCACATTTTACAGGACATTAGGCAGACAGCCGAATTTAGCGCAATTTAAAGCGCTTAAGTGAAAAGAGAAGCGGCGACACGTGCTCTATTGGCCAGACAAGGGAGACAGCGATCCACGGCGGTGGCCGAAAAAAGAAACCGCAAAAACCGTATCTCAATTGCAATCACTCAAAACAACGGAAATGACGCTTAGCACAACTTCCTGTCGCTCCGGCGGACAAGCGGACGGACAAATGAAAGTATCCACAGTTACGGGACGACGCGCAGCACCACTCGACGAGCTCCAACCACCCATCCGAATTGTAATTCATGTCGCTGGGGGAGTTTTCTTTTTTGGCATATTTGTCAACTCTGTTTCCACTGCACACATGATGAGGGGTTTTGGGTGAGGTGCTATTGGGGGGTGTGGGTATGGGAGCTTAGGGCCGACCACGCCCACCAGCCATTCACCACACTGACTGGCACATTCAAGTGCAATTTCCTTGTAATACGAAACTATGTCATTTTGGCACGGACGCGAGCCGAAAAGCAGTTCCCAGGATTCAGGACTGGGCCGTAGGTACAGCCAAGCCTCCGTAAGATACAGTGACATTAATGGTTGAGCAAAACATTTAAAAAGGAATTCTTCCTACTTAATTTTAACGAAATATTTGTTATACTGTGGTAAAATAAATTGACAAATAAGGGACCTTTTAAGATGAATCCATCCTACGAAACCAATTTACAGATGTTGGCCTGTATTTTCTGGCAACGCGTGCATGCAAACATGACACGTTGGCGCACTTGTGATGGCACTCGTGTCCACCTGGCAGCTAGATCCTGGCACTCGGTTCTCGGCAGCCAGCAGCTGGCACCCGGCGATTGCAGATGCAACCGGATGCGGAACCAGAAATACTGGCTCTGAGCTGGAGCCGGAGTGGCGAAAATAGCCGGCAACAACCGGCAAGCAAAGTGGCAACTGGAGTGACGCGCTCATAGTCTCAGGGAGGCGGCCAGGGAGGGATATCGTAGGCAGCCGGGCTGACAGGCGGCATTTGATAATGTCAAGCCCCAAATCAGCAACAGACACCGACCGAAAACAACCGGGGGACTCGAAAGTCGGGGATGGACAATTGCACGTTGCAATTTCAGCCAGTTGCCACTTGGCCGGGCACACATGGCCATCTCAAGTATCTGTCTGGGCCAAAGCCGAGTGCGGTTTGTCTGCCCGGCCGATGGCCAGACTAAGCAACTATAGTTTAACTCCTGCACATCTCGTAATTGCCGCTGAATTTGTCTCCGCTTTTGTCTTTGCAGAACAGTTTCACATTTTCGTGGGTGACCTGAGTGCCGAAATCGAAACGCAACAGCTGAAAGATGCTTTCACCCCATTCGGAGAAATATCGTAAGTACAAGATACAGTTTTTTAAATCTCTAAATCATAATTTATATGTAATTTCCTCTTATACCATAATTGGGATGTATCTGGCTCACTCCTCTTAATTGCGAGAACTATTTTTAGGGTTTCCCACTTCGCCCACTCCAGAAACCTTTTCCACCATCGATCCTTGTTTCGGGCAGCACATTAACTCCAATCAAAGAACATTTTGCCGCACTTGTGCCGGCCGAGCAAATTGTTAAATAAACAAACAAACGGCAAATGAAGTCCTCTGCGCCTAATTTATGAATAATTAGCGAGCCGAGGGTGCATGTCGAAGGAAACCGCGAAATGTTGTGCCACAGCAACGTGAATTTCTCTCGCTTTCCGTTTTTCGCTTCTCGTTTGCTTTTGTTTTTCCTGCTGGACTGGTCTCTGAAAATCACGAGTGAATGGACCATAGAAACGTGGGCTCCCAAGCAACGGGCAATAAATTAATAATTTAATTTTCGACTTTTTTGTTTGAGCAGCAAAAAGGGGGAAAAACAAACTGCAATGGGGACCAGTTGAAAGCCACAAGCAGCTGTCGACGCCGAGGCAAACAAATGCCGGGCGAGTGGCCCAAAAAATATTAGAGCAGAACAAGTGAAAGCAAATAAAACTGATTTATATACATACACCCCTTGCACAGGTGGGCACCCTCCTTTAACTTTATATATATTTTGAGTTCGGCTCAGAAATGTTGCGCCTGCTCATCAGGTCAGTAACCAAAAAAAGACGTCCTGGGAGCGTGTTTCGCAGGCTTTTCATTTGCCACTTCCTTAATTAATGAGCATCAGCCTTCGCCTCCGTCTTCTATTCGCCCCTCGCTATTTGCTCTCGGTTCTTTTGAGAAACGTTGAACTCATTTTGCCAGAAACTATTTATTCGAGTGCACACGGAAAAAAATTGTTCATAGGAAGACGAAGTATAAGAATTTTAATATTTTTGCTGAGCTTCAATTGATGAGGAGTATATCCGCATATAAGCATTTAACTAAAACTATGTTTCAATAATTTTTGACGGTTTAAAATGAATCAACAAAACTATTGGCAGTCTTTTTCTTATCATATTCTTAATTTAAACTAATTTTAAAGTTTTATCATTTTTTCAAGTTGTGCCAAATGTTCGTTTAACGCTGTGAACGCTTGGCCTTTTGAAGTGCTCGTCGTATTTTTGGCCGCGGTTTGTCCCGCGGCCCGGCTTCTGCAAATACTGTTCCTCCGCATGTTTATTTTATGGCGAGCGCAAATCTAGGAAATAATTACATTTTTCATCTACACCTGAAGTGGCTCTTCGCTGCCTTGGGGCCCGAGGAAGCAGCTTCAAAGACGTCATCCCTTGCCAGGATATCCTCGGTCGCCTCCTTTGCCCCTTAATTTATTGCTCTTTATGCCTTGAGTGCCCGCGTGGGAAATAATCGCAAATATGTTGTCGTCTCCGGCATTACCTACTTTTCATCATCAGGTTAACAGCACTCATGGGTGGATTTTTCATTTAGGGGGCTAAATTTATACAACAATTTTGCCACCAGCGTCTGCTCGTTTTTAATTAACTGGCTTAACTTTCCAACTGCGGCAAGCGGTGCAAACTTTACAAAGTAATATGTGAGGAAAGCTCACCATAACTGAAAGTTTTTGTGGTTTTAGTTTGGCAGACGAACGGGAACATAGACAAAACTCATTAGGGAAAGTCGATGGAAATTTATTGAAAAGGGAAGTCTGGGAAAACAAAAGAAACTTAATCCCCCAATTAATTGCTTGCCCTTGGCACTGTCGCCGCCGTAATCACACCCATAATCCTTTCAAAATAATTAAGTCTCTTTGAGTTTCCAAATCAATCAACACCTTGTGCTTAATCAAAACCACCGGGAACACTTGTCCACTTTCCCAGCAGACGATTTGCCCAGGGGCCACTAATATATATAGTTTTCTTATCGCAGCAATTTAATGGACTGGCACACACCAAAAATCCGATTAGACAATATAATGCGAGGACTCTTGCGTCCATTCTTATAATGGTCATAAAACACAACGCCACGAGTGTGCTTGTTTTAATGCAGCTAATTAATTAATCGGTCGGTGGAAAGGATCAACATAAAACCCAAACCACTTCTTGTCGGCCAATTAGGAAATTCCCAGAAACCAATCGACTGCAGCAAGAGCAGCAGCTTCCCAAGTGCCAAGACGATGACGGGCAGTTCAAGGGGTCCGATATACGAGTATATGCTATATGGCGAATAATACTATACTCGTGACCGAGCACAAAACAGAAATTCAATTATCCGCCTGCGGTGGGCGGCGCAAATTGCGTCTGCTTGTCGCTGCAGTCGCCGCAACCGAAACCCATGGCCATAACCAGATAGCAGTGCTCCTGATTAATCACATGCAATATGTTCTGGCCCGACTTCGAACTCGTTTCACAAGCCGTATTCATAAATAAAACCATATTCAGAAGCAGAATCGGATTCGGAATCGGAATCGGAATCATTGCCAGGGAGAGAGGAAGACAAACAAAGGGGTCGGCACAATAGGCAAATTGATTAGCGAGCGGTACATGGACACGTCCTGCCCGTTGGCAGGACTTCTGCTGCCTGATTAGTTCCCTCGATATTGTTGCCGCCTCTCATAATTCAATTACATTTTTGTGCTGCATGGCTAACGAGCCCTTCTCGGCCAGTAATTGGCAGTCCTTCTTGCTGTTGCTGTTTACCGCCTTTCATTGTCGGCCACAAAAGGCTTAACTTGGCCTTTGTGCCCAAGTTTGACCCGTTCAAATTTCGAATTTCTTCCTCTTGGAATCTTGCACAGAGGATAATTTACAAAAAGTCACGTTGCATTTTGTATTTGTGCAATATCCAATAGATATGAAATAAAGTTATTATTATAACTGGAACCAAACAGATACAATTTCTAAAGGTAAAATCTTTATTAGGGATCTCACAATTTAAAAAAATGTTGTATGATTATGTTTTTTTCTGTGTACCCTAACAAAACTTATGCTGAACTTACATGTAAAAGTCCTGAAGTGCTTGCCGGAAAAAAGGCAAAGAAATCAACAAGATAATAGTTGATAGTTGCGACCGGGCGGAATGCGAATGGAAATAAACTCGCTCGCTATCTCCTTCGCTTTTTTCGGTTACTTTTAATGACACTAGGGAAAGTTTTGATTTTGGTTTGCTGTCTACCATCTCCAGACTGCAGACTTTCTCCTTTGCCACCTTGCCACGACGTCATTACGTTTGATATTCCCTCTTTTTTTATGGGGCATATAATTTTGTCGCCCCGTCTTAGCGACAGCCCTCGATTGGGACGATGCTGAAAATGAGCAAAACTTTCAACTTAATCTATTCAGAAAGTTGCCTTGGCTTTAGCCGCGGATTCAGCTTCTTCGGCCCCAGCCCTTTTCATAAACTTCAAAATGCGCTTGTGCACGTCGTCAAGTTAACTCCGCTCCTTGCTGCTTTCTGCAGTTCTGCAGTTCGACTTTGAGTTGCGGAAAGGGGAAACGGAAACCAATGATCGGCGACAAGTGGGTGGCGGCGGCGGAAATGGCGGAAAAAGTTGAGCGGCCCGCGCCATCTAACTCTCGGCTTAAGTAGGCGGCGGCTTTTGTTGCGAGGCGGCGAGTGACAAATCAAAATCGCATTCAAATGCGACGCGGCGTGCAACGGAAGTTAATGCGAAAAACTTTTGCCCCAAAACGCGCACAATCAGTCAAGCATCTCGTTGGCACCCTTCTCGATTTACCTACACTTCAAAAAAGGTTCAAATTTTGTGAAAGAGAAACTAAATTTGGATTGTCTGAATTTTGTTTCAATTATCAAAATTCTAAAACAGAAAATAATTTCACTTTTTTATATTAATTTATTCAACAAATTCTCTAAATATTTCACATTTAAAGGGTTAATTTTTTTCTCAATGTGTCTCTTCCGGATTTTCTCCCAATCCTTCGCTCTGTTTGTGCGTAGTGTGAAAAATGAGTCTTGGCAGTTTGTGTTGCAGCCGCAAAAGCCTGACACTTTTTCATGCCGCCTGCGACGATTTATATTTGTGGAAAGTGTCAAAAGTTGGGCCAAGTTCTGCGACTTTAAAGCGCCACTCAATGCAAATTAAAGCAAATTGAAACCGGCCCGAGTACATTGAGCTGTGTAAACTTTTTAATATAATTTTAATGGCCGCCAAAGTTTGCACAATCATTAAAAGGCAAACAATTTTCGTTTTCAATTTGTACAGATTGTGTATCAATAGCCAGGTTTAATGCTTAGATAATAGACAGAGAGCCAGGCGGCGGCGGCGGCGTCGACTTTGGCCCCGGGCATAAATTTATTTAATTTACTTTCATGCTGCGGCAGGGAACTTTTCCCATAAAATACGCATTAATTCATTAAAATTGACAAAGGCGAAACACGAGTGCCAAGCACGGTTGGCTGCCTTTTGGACAGTCTCTGTTGCCAAATGCTCGCCGAGTGAATGACTGAATGACTGGGTGACTGACAATGTCCTGCGTTTTCGGGGCCAACTAAACGGAGCCAAAACAGTTTGCAAAGCGGCGCCCCACAGCGGCTAAATGTGTATAAATAAAAGTGCTTCAGTCGCGAGAGGAGCGGCGGCGCCTTTTAAAATTAAATCAACGGAAATAAACGGGACAACGAGGGATGTCAGGACAGCGGCAGTGGCAGCGGCAGCGACACAAACTTTTTTTTATCGCGCCAACAAAGCCGCGCCAGAAATTATGCTGCAATGAAGACGACAACGAGTAGTCCTTTTTGTCCTTGGACGAGGGGCGACAATTTTTGGCTGGCGCTTAAAATGGCACTTTGGCTGCCTGTCATTTGCAGGCAGCGCGGCACAAATTGAATTTAACTGCACTTTCTGGGCCTTGCTCGGCTCGCCGGAGTTGAGCCGCTGCCAAAAAAACAAGTCGGCAGCGGCAGCGACGGCAGCAATGGCAGCGGCGGCAGCGTCGACCCTCCGGGCCCGCACATA